AAGGGCGTTTTTTGTCGCTTGCCTTGCCGGCTTTTTTTCCTGCTGCGATTTTTTTTTTAACCCAAAATATAGAGGAGGGGCCCTCCCCTAGATCCGCCGCTGAATTCTCGAAACATCGCGGCAAAAGAAGATTTGCCGCCAATGACACTCTTTCATGTTAGGTAAAGGCATTCTCGATTCAGGGGAAGAACCTTTAGTTATTAGTTAGTTGGCATCAACATCAGATTCCCTAGCGAGGTTATTGGGATTCAAATAATCTTTTTTTTCTAGGTTTCCCTCTGGATAATCAGAAGTCGCATGAAGAAAAATATAATTTAGCGAATAGCCATCATGTCGTCATCATCTTGCATGGACCAGCGAAGGTGGAAATAACCCTGTTTCAACATAGTCATCAAGAATCTACAAAGAAAAATTAGTTTGAATTAACACTTCAACAGAAATGACACGCAGCAAAATGTTTAATATCATATGTTATCGAAAGAAATCGGGGCTTGGTTCTCCTTGCCGAGATGTTGGCTTTACAAAGTGTCTCCGAAGAACCGCTGTACATATTTGCTAATGCTAATTTGTTTTCAGTTAGCATTTCTCTGCGCATCTTTTTGTCGTAAGCATTCTCGTCTAGATTGTATTTGCTTGCGGTTGGCGTTTCTCGATACATTTGTTTACTGAAGGGTAGCATTCTTTCACGGATAACGCGCTTCTGAGGTAACACGATTCACTATTACCGCGGTACCAGTCGTACATAATTGACATTTAATTGACAAACCTCGGCTAAGCCTTCCTCAAGAACTGACATTTCGAGATAGAACTGTACACCAAGATTTTCTTCGGATTGGTGCAATTTCTACACCCCTTCAGTTACACTCGCCAGACGTCAACTTCAGAGAGCGAGAACTATGTACACGACGCTCAAAAAGAGAACAAATGACTAGCAAAAAAAAACTTACCTCTCTAAGCACTTCCCCTGTAAGTTCGGGATAATTGTAGCTAAAACCCGATTCTTCAATCTTTGATCCGTTAACGAACAAGTGATTATCATAATGAAGTTCCTATTGAAAGAAATGAGGCAAACCAAAGCTGAAATTCGTAGTAGCACTATAAATGCAGGGAAGGGCGTGGCAGTTATGAACAAGGAGCTCGCTTCCCAAAATTAAAATTTAAAAACTAGGAAATGACAGAAAAACGAAAAATAAAACACTTTATTTGTTTAGTGCATCACTTTTTAAAGACATTTAGAGGGGGTTA